ATATATTGTCACGACTCTGGACGACGGCTGAGGATACCCCAGCAAAAACTAAAAATTTTTGAACGTCACCAAAAGTGTCGTTACAACATTTATCATAAGTTTAAAATCTTTTAGGAAAACATCTGAGTTCAGAAATACTATAACAATAATAAGTTTTGAGGTTCTTATATAAATTATAATATTCTTAATTCTTAAATGGTGTAGCTGTTCAACCATCAAATGGCTATTCTCATAAAATATTTTACATACTATTATTAGCACTAAAAATCAGTCAAGTTCGGAGTGATTCATTTAATTGAAGACTAAAACCCAGTTTAGTTGGAATTATATTATGAGAAAGAACAAAACATAGCAAACTTATTTAATTTCATACCTCATGAGGTTATTACCTCATTATTTCCATTTCTATATTATGTATATCAGTCCAATTGTAGAAAAGAATCTAAATTATTATGCTTTCTAACGGGGCACTGGACTATAAAAAAACATGGAGCCTAGCTTTGTCTGTCCTGTAGTATCACCTTTAGTGCATGTTTACCGGCACTCGAAGAAAAATCAGCAGAAAACCTGTTTTATCTATTTCCAGGCTTGTCTGGAACCGGGTTTAAACTATTGAATGCTAATTCTAACACACTTAGCGATATTTCCGACATGAGCATTTGCCAGATAGTTACATATATGAATGTTTCCGGTTATTTTTAAAAAGACCATTTTTCTACCTAATATTACCAAGAATTGTGGAATCAAAACTAAAGCCATTAGCTAACTGAGCAGGATTCGTTCCTCTCTTCATTTCACCTATCTGCCTAACATACATGATGATAATTTTAAGCAACTCTTAAAAAATAAACTCAAATTTTAGCTAGTTAAAAATACTGTAGATATTTCTTTAAATAACCCATAAATAATTTACTTTTAATTTAGATCTAATAAATAAGGATTAATTAAATTGGGTTCCTAATAGCTAAAAATGGAAATACATGCATAAACTTGACCAGTCTTCCCTTCTACTTGAGCAAAAGTCTACTTTATATATTTCATATTTAATTGATTACACTCTCCTTTAGTAAAATTAATTATACTTTCTGCACTTAATAATATTTTATATAAAATAAATTGTTTGATCTTATGTAATTTTATTTCAATTAATTGGGTTTATTTCACTAAATTTTATTTTCTGATTTCTAAATTTTTATTTTATTTACTTAGTTTTATTCTATTTTACTCTTTTCTGCATATTCTTTGATTTTCTTTAAATTTTATTATATTAAATTAAAAGAGGTTTAACTTTCTAACTATAAAATTAAAATGTTTGAAATAAAACTAACGTACTGAAGAATTTAAAAAAAAAACACGAATTCTTTACACAATTGAGTAAAGTTCTACTTCCAGAATTAACATTTGTTACTATTTTTACATACACGGAAAGTTTAGTCAAATTCCCACTTCTAATCTGATTCAAATACCACTATTAACTTAGAGCATTTTCACCTGTGTAAACTAGATTTTTCGCATGCGATAAAAATTCTATCTCTATTCTATTCAATGGCATTTTTTTCCAAACTTCCTGCTGTATCAAAACGTTTTCATCCTGTGGCATAAAATGGTAATAAAAACTATTCAGTAAGTAAAAACCACTGAAAAAATACAATACTTGCAAGTGAAATCTGGTTCTGTTGTGATTTGACGTTACGCATGCATAACAAAGCCAATACCATGCCATTTTTATACAAACAAAAATACAGCAAAGCTAAAGCAGTACATATTAAGTTAATACCTTTGATTTTACAGCAACTTCGGGAAACTTACAATATTCAGTCTGATATATAAATGTAAGCGATTCTGTCACTTAAATTGAGTTAATACCTTTGATTTTACAGGAATTTCAGGAATTA